GATGGCGCGTACAGTGGGCTTTTCTTGAAGGAAAACGGTGCGTTGTGCTATCCTATGCTCATCGTCGCGCTTATGGCCAAGCAGCGACGGAGGTGGAGGGCACGTTTCGCGTAAATGGATCCAACAAGCGAATGCGCGACTTGCAGGCTTTATTCGAGGCACCACCACGCGTACGTCGTGTTACAGGTTACAGACGTCCTCGTTCTGACTTCTCGGCAGTACGGAAAGTCACTAGACTGGAAGAAGGAAAACTATACAACACACGACGTCGCCAGTGTGTTTCGAAGATATCTTACTCAGATGCCTGTGCGCTCGTCCATATTTACACGTCCAACCTCGTCTCACGTCCAGTGTAGGAGCCTGTTATACCCCACGACCTGTATTTCCAAGTGGGTCCTCTCAACAGCAGTTCCGATGATATGCTGAATCTCTATTCCGCAGTTTCGGGATGCCATCGGTACGCTTAGCACACATCGCTGAGATCCATCACTGACTATCCGCAGCGAAGAAACCATATAATCAAGACGAGGTGATTGCGACGTACAAGCGCCTCATCCACTCAATGCCCCATGCCAACCAATATCTCCTTCTTTACGTCCTCGACTTATTGTCGGTGTTTGCGCGCAAATCAGACAAGAACCTTATGACTGCTCAGAGTAAGTAGTTGTTTTGACTGAATTCCAAGCGCTGACGAAAGCGAGCAGACTTGGCGGTCATTTTTCGCCCTGGTCTGATGTCTCATCCCACTCATGAGCTCTCGCCACCGGAGCACCAATTAAGCCAAGAGGTGCTTGAATTCCTCATCGCACATCAAGATTGGTTCATGCTGGATATTCCTCCGCCACCTCCTTCACAAACACGCAAGGGACGCTCCGGTAATAGATCGGCACGAACGCAAGAGGAGACGGAAGATGCCGGCATGGTGTCTAGCTCGGACGAGGAGGCCACAGGTGGGTGGAAGCTTGTGGGCTCTCCTGGTCGGTTCGGGGGAACGGGGCATGTCTCGGCATCGAAGGTCGGACGACGGCGCACGACGACTGAGCGCGAGCGTGGCCAGCGGCATGGTGAAGCTCCTCCCTTATCTTCTCAGTCCCGCCACATCGCATGAAGTACTGACGTCGTTCATCCTCTGTATTCCTGCAACTCTCGATGTCTATGGCAGCCGACGCACTCCGCAGTGGTGAACTTTCTCCGGTCGCCGAGTCGCCGCGTATCGAAGCGCCAGGGGTGGCGCGCAGCCGCACGTTGCCTACTTCACGTCCTGGGCGAAAGGACAAGGACAAGGATCACAGCGGCGACGGAGGACGCGTACTGAAGAAGACAAGGCGCGCGTCCGTGCAACCAGACGAACGGAAGCGTGCTCCCGCATCGGCGAAGGAAGGAAGGTAGCTTTGCTAGAGGTGAATTGGGTGGAGGCAAAAGCCAGATGAGGCGGGCCGTGATGTTTTTGTTTGGTGATGTATTTGATATGATTTTTTCCTGTCTTTTTGTTCATGAGCTGTGATATACCCATGCTCTTATCCTTGTTTTTAGTAGTACTATCTGTACCCACACCCCTTCCTCAGACTCTTGTTTCGTGACGACGACGAGATGCCCCACCCGCGCACTTCATGGACACTGTGCTATTCCTTCTGATCCTAATTCGCAGTTATTGGACAATCGTCTGTGATTACACGGGCTTACTCGTAGTCATATCTTCTCCCTTTATTTTTACGACGAAGCTTACAATTGGATCATGCGTCTGACGATGTACCTACTACCCTTCTTCTCATTGTTATTCCCCTTGACTGTATGTTTTAGACAATTTTGATTAGCGATGAAACTCCGCCACCTAGTGGTATTGTGATACTCTCGTTAAAGTATGCAAAAGTAAGCCATGCAACGGTCGACGGTATAGATTGAAGGGAGGCTTTCCCACCGCCACTGCCGAAGTGCTATAGAGAAATATAAGATGATGAAGCAGTAGCGCCGTATGCACGGCAAAGCCCGCCACCAGCATCTGCAAATGGAGAGCAGCCAGCGGAATACCTATTCGCGCTGCTGCCAACGGTAATCCCGCTTGATGTAGAGGAATTAGAACTGTCTCGCATTCTCGTCTAAGAGATGTATAATACACTTTCCACCATAGTATACAATCTGAGAAAGTTTAAAGATGCAGGCTAGAAGGCGATGGGACGTGAACGTCGGCACCATCTTCGGAATCTATGAGACCGTGAATCCCGACGCTTGACACGCGCGTGCCGTACCAGGACACTTGCGCCTGCAGGCGAAGGACCCGAAGGGCACGATCGCGGACGTGCTCAGCCCGGGGAGCCAGATGGTCGCTGCAGACCTCAACGTGGTCAAGCCACATATCTCAAGTGCTGCCGTCGAGCGGGTCGAAGACGACGTGTACTTGTCTTTGTACAGGACCTCGACGATGACCGCAGCCCTAGACTTTAGTCTCGTTGAGGAGGCTGATGCAAAAGACGACATGTACATGTCAGCAGGCGATCGCTACGCGATCATGGTCTAGGAAGACGCCGCGGCGCAGATCGATGAGACGTGCTGTGTAGACATTGGTGGCGATGGATCTGGAGGTGGGTTGGATGGCGGCAAGCAGGAGGTCCCCGGTTGCTTTTGCGCCGAGGTGGAACTTCTCGGAGAGGACATGTCTGCGCATGCGGTTGTGTCGGTCAGGAGGTGGGATGGCGAGTAGACACGAGCACGCACCGGGTGAGAGTATGTGTTTTGAGGCTGCTCGGACAGGGCAGGATTGGGCATGTTAACAATACAATGTCTGCTTTTTGTACCGCCCCCTAGGCCCTGCCCCGTCATAAGCTAGAAGCGACGTCTCCAGCGGATGAGTTGCTTGCATCTCTTGGTACTTTGTCTAACACTGAGTCTGACGATACCATGGTTCTGATGCAGCAAAAGGGTGAGCGAGCGGGTTGGAGGTCGCTTTGAGGTCGCTGCGGAAAATGTGACACACGAGTTGTCGACAGAATAAGTAGAGTTGAAACCTGTCAAAACGGACGCTACGAAGACGTCATTGACTCACGAAGGACCGATCCTATCGACCGGGGATGAATGCAAATATCAGGAGGGCAGCTCTGAGTGCCAGTGCGCACACTGGGCCAGAGCCTGACAAGGGAGAGACAGCCGGGTTTCAAACTCAGTGCACAGCATCCCCAGATCTTGCATCGGGCAGCCAATTCCTTGCAAATAGCGTGCTACAAGACCCACTACCTAAAGGTAGCGGGAATATCATTGGCCCATGGAGTATAGATGTGAAGGTAAAAACACATGTCAGTAGGAATCCTCTACCCAGAGCGTCGAATTGGAAAGAGGCAATTTTAGACAAGTCCTCGGCCACCCATCGTAACCGTGTCTCTCACTGCTCTCACCGTCTCCTTCCACAAGCCGCTCAGCAGCCCGGCCTCCTTCACACTTCCGAGGCGTCGGCGTACATCCGCTATCCCAGCGCCCGCTGCCTTGGTCCGCCTCCGACGCAGCCGCAGTAAGAGCGACACCAAAGGCAGCAGGATGCACAACACGAAAAGCACAGAGAAACGCGGTAAGCGCTCTATGTATTGCTGGAAGGCAACGCGAAGCACTGCTAGGGTGGTCACGGGAGGAGTAGTGGTTGCTGGGGTGAGGGGCGGAGCGGTAACAGTGGTGGCGACCGGGGAACGTGAGGGCGAGCGAAATTTTGGAAGGGTCCGCGGAGCGCCGGGATGCGGCGTTACGGTACGTGAGGATTGCGCCGACGAAATGGAGGAGGAGGAAGCCGCAGAGAAAGTACGTGGTAAAGGTGATAGCGGTGTCATGTTGTTCGAACTGGAGAATTGTCGGGCTCTAGGAGTCGAGGGAACGGCTGTACCTGTGGAGGTCGTGGAGGATGATGAGGGAGAAGTAGGGCGCGATGGTGTTGGCGTTGCCTGGGGAAGTGCAGCTGGTGGCGACGTGATAGTGGCGGAGGCCAGGGCGGCTAGACGGTCCCCATGCAAGGATGCAAGTGTGGAGACGATGCGCTGCATAGACGGTCCTTGCATAAATGATACAGCTTGGAGGTAGGATGGACGGACCTGTTTGCTTTCTTGGGGAAGCTCGCTCTCGTAGCTGAGAAACTCGCCCGCGTACTCCCACTCGTCCAAGAGCGGGAGGATACTAAGACAGTACACGTCTAGCACCTTCTCGTAGCTATCTTCCCCCGACGGGTCCTGCCACTGAATGCGTCTCGAGAGCCATTCCTCCACGAGGGACCGCCCAACTGTAGGTGCGAAAACCTTGATGCTGGCCAACGCAAGCGTGACCACAACCTGGGCAGGCAGATATGCAGCATCGACCTCTGCACCAGGTGAAAACAATCGTATAGAACGCGCATGTAGTGAAGATATCAGCGAAGCCCCGGAAAGAATGGCGTTCGCGCGCAGAGAAGCGGGTATAGATGCTGAATCCTCTGGCGGGGACGTGTATACAGTGACTTCGGTGGTAATGCGCAAGATGTCCCACTTGCGACGCTGGTCAGAGAGGGCATCGCGAGGAGTTGCGGGAGATGATAAGAGAGCGAAGGCAGACGCAAGAAGGCTGTGAGTCAGATCTATGTCGCGGTGGAGAAAGGCGCGAGCGGCGCGGGCGTAGAGCGTGCGGAGGGTCGCGGTTGTGCTGGTGCTTGCGACTTTGGATGATGGCGGCTTGTGAAGGTTGTCTGTCGACGTGGTCGTGGTCGTCGCGGTTGGCATTGTGCGAGCGCGGAAATGTGGTGTCAAGAGGAAACCATGTCAGCTGCAGTCCCAGGCTCATCTCATGCCGATTATTCACGTGCAAGGCGCAACGCCATCCATGATTCCATCAAACTGGAACTCCTGGGCATTGCCTGGATACAACATATCTTCCACTCTGTGGTCTGTGGGTTCCTGGGTAGTACTCAGGTAACTGATATATGGTACTTGGTGCGTTTGTATCAGCTCAGGCCCCAGGACCGATCCAGGTTCTCACACTGAGAACTTTCGTGCCCAGGTTCAATGGTCTAATGGTTATGATTTCTGTCTCACATACTGGTTTGTCCACAGAAGGTTCCCGGTTCGATCCCGGGTTGAACCACACTTTTTATTTACTAGAAGGTTGATCAAAGAACCCGTCAATTTAAACATTCCCTGCAATGTTAGGCTCGTCCTGACTGGATGTTAAGCTAATAAGATGTCGCTGTCATGCAGATCTCAGTGGTGGCGACAGTCCTAATCAAGGGATCGTCGACCGAGCAGTTTCGTGATTTCCCTGCGTTGTGATAGCCATTCGGGAAATGTGGTGTCCATCGCTTCTCCTCGTCGGGTCTCGATGAGATAATTGGCGAACACAATCAGCGCCCCGTAGCGATATCTACAGGCCCATCTAATAGTTCAGAGAATGTAGACACCAGTATGAAGATGGGCACGCACAAGTAATTCACAGCAAGATTGAACAACTTCCGATGTTTGGACGATCCCTTTTCACAAGCTTCGGCCTTCAGCTTGTTGCTGTAAAAATAATTCAATTCCCTGTCAACTGTCAGTGGGGGTAATTCTCACTCGTAAATGGCCTTCCGCAGGTTTTGAACATCTTGCATCAAGTCAATAGCTCTATCTGTCAGGCGTTTAGCGACCTTGCCATGCGAGAGGACGCCGACGAGCTGTAGAATGATCTTGTACTCCCCTGGACATTGTCAGCGATTTATCAGATGCTGAACAAGCCGAGTTACCTTGGAGATATGCGTCCTCTTCCGAAGGCCCATCGATATAGTCGTATTCTTCGGTAATGGTCTCTTGCATCTTGTCGTCGATGCCTTCGTGTACGTCCCAGTTCATCGTGGTAGCAATCAAACAGGCGGAAACCATTCCAGTGGTCGTTCGCCCGCGTCCCATTTGACAATTGAAGATGAAATCACCCGCCTTCTCATAGGTTGACGTGACACGCTCCAACAGTTGAGACAGAGCACCCGGAAGAGGCGCCTGTTCGTCGGTCTGCTCAAAGGCGATTCAGCTTCACACGCAGTGCCTTGGACACGAGGCGGACGTACGATTGCTACCCGACCATAATCAATCTGCAGGAGTAAGGTCAGTGCTACGTTCGTCACGTCGCTAGACGTCCGGGCACACCTTGTAACCTTCCTTCGCCATAAGGTTAAACACATCTCTAGGTGTCATGATGTCTGCCTCCGAGACCGTTTCCCATAGGGGTACGATGGAGAACACGTTCGGTCGCTCCTCGACCTCGTCGTGCAATAAGATACGCCCATTGCCTTGCCGTACTTCTTTAAGAACATCTCTTTTGAAGTTCTCCTCCATCGCTTCCACAGCGCTAGTGGTAATTCCGGTCGCTCTAGTATTGTCAACGTGTCAATGCACATACAGGATTCACGTAACAAAGAGCTTACTCCACGTTCTCTAGAGGACGATTCACCAGCCGCAGCACATGCGGTCGGCCGGCGACGTATATGACGGGTTCCTGGAGATTGTAAATACAACTCTTGACGGGCGAAAAATGTTAGACCGACCTCCCGTAACGAGGTCCATACCACAATATTGTGTCCGTCTGGACCAGCGTTGACCCTTGCCAATGCTCTTCGAAGTCTGCGTGGGTGTGATTTAGTGTGTTTTCAGTCATAGCATGTGTAGATATTTGGCGTACCCTTGGACAGTGGGCATACCACTTGATACAATTTAGTGTCTACATCGCAAAAGTAGACGGTAGTCAGATGAGCTTACCTGCCGCATACACCTTTCCCGCTGGCGACAGAACGAACAGCGTCTGCGCCGTCTTGAGATCCAAGCGCATTTCCCGTCTTGAGGTCAAGCACTAGTGGCACGCGGCGGAAATTCGGAGATCCCTCGATTCGCCTGTAATCCACGTTGTCAGTATGAGAACAGATATATGGCGAGAGAGACCTGACTCAGGAAGAGTCATCTTTTGCAGATTAGAGAAGAAGTCGCTCTTCAGGATGGTCGAAGCTGATAGGATGCTCCCAGACCTATTCGCAACAATCTTCGAGACTTCGTCCGGGAGAGCTACATCATCCGCCATGTCGACACGGTTCAGAGGCTTAAGGGCAGAGATACCCTCCGCAAGAAGCTCCTTCTCAAACGTCTTGAGAACTAGATCAAGTCGGTCAGCGAGCAAGGGTTGAACGGTAAACAGTTGCCTATACCTGGCAGGTTGTTGACAAAAGACTCAAAAGTGTCAAATGTTTGCAATGTATCAGGTTCGGTCGACTGCAAATATGCCTGGAAGACGATCAACTCAAAGTAGCGTCTCAAATTTTGCAAACCTATTCCACGGCCTTGTCAGATTCTCGGTAGGACAGACCACTGTACGTCAGTTACGCACCTCTTTGAGCGAAGGTGCGTTTAGTACGTTCATCTGGCGCCTGTTCCGCTCGAATTCGTGCCTCTTCTATCGAGTCACGTAGATTGAATACTTCGGCACACTGGTCGATGGCTTCGTCGACAGCATTCTTAACTGCAGGACCTTTGCGAACAACACGAAGTAGACCTGCGCACGAAGGTCAAAGGAAACCGATTTGCAACAAGCACTGAACTTACTGTTGATTACTTCGTAAGACTGCCTTCTGATGGGATGTTCGCTCATAGACGCTTCCAATGACGGGACAGACATAGTGGAGATAGTTCTTGTCCCTAATCTGGGAGTGGTAGGAGGGAATCGGCCAGCCGATAACCACTGCTGTATCAGCATTAAAATGACCTAGCAGTACGATGAATACGATGATCTGGACGTATGTGGCGACAAAGCTCACAGAGGTCAAAGTGCTTCTCCCTCGCCCCAGTTGATCATTGACCACGATCGGAGCATGCGCCACGTGCGCAGCCAGTGCGACCGTGATGAGGTCGTTGAAGTCAGAGAAGTCCGGAGGACGCTCTGCCGTGATGGGTATGCGGCTATATTGTAAGTCAATATCATGGAGAGCTTCCTTCCGGGCCGTCATGACGTCTTTCATGACGGCCACATCTCCCGGCCGGACTTCCTCCCATACTGGTATGACCGACCCGTCAGGGGTCTCTGTGTGTAGCAAGAGCCTGCAAGCAACGTATTAAAGAGTCAAAAAAGAATGAGTGGGGAAGCGTACGTACTTTCCGCCGAAATTGTGGACCTCAGACACTACATCATCTCTCAGTCGCTCCTCCAGGACTTCCAGGCGTGAGCCCGAGATGCCGCCATAGTCTGAACGGAATTCGTTGATAAGGACCAAGCTCTGGTATAGTTGCATAGGCGTCATTACCTTTCATATTTCGCAAAGTGAACCGTTCTCGTCGCAAGCAGAACGGCGCACCGTTGACATATACGATCGGCTCCTCCCGTAAAGTGACCCATATGATGCGATCCGCGTCAGGATGTTCCTTCTTGAGCTTGTGCACAACTTCGACAATCGCCTCCACTGTAGGCTGGCCCAGGGCGTAGATCTTCGTTCCAGAGATGTTACGGAAATTAGTGGCGCCGCGGATTACCGATGGCACGTGGTGCGATTCCTTGAGCCATTGGTCGGATTTAAGGAGGGTACTGTAGAGGAATGAAACTTCAATTTCGAAAAGAGACTGAACAAGTTGTACCCTTCGCGTAGAATGATTCCGCTTCGGCTCTATAACATATTGGTCAGATCGCAGTTGTGACGGACCCAAAGAATCAACCAGCCTTCACAACGTAATCTGAGTACTCGTCCCCGAGTATCCGACCACCCGAGATAGCCACATCGTTCTTTTGGCCTCGGACTAGCGAGCGTTCCTGTGCTCCTGACTTCGACAACAGGGACAAGTCGTTGACAGGAGAAAATACATTCAATCTGGAACCATAGGATTTGCGCAAGAACAAGACTTGGCTGGAGATGTGTGAAACGATCATCATTTGGAGCAAAGTAAAGGCCTTACTTGTATAATTCGGTCCTGGCCTGACGAGATTTTTGAGGAAGCCTTGGACATGATGGCTGGTGGTTCACGCACCTTGAGCCAATCTGAGAACGTCAGAGTGAAATCGGTTTGTGATTCCACGAAGCTCATGAAGGATATAATGAAGAAACTGCAATGAGCCATCGTGAGACCAGTCGACATCTCTCTGGCTGTTATAATCACTTACTACTTTTCAAGGGCCTTGACAGCTCTCTCCAAGGAAGTCTCCCTGTTTGACTCATCCAGGCTGGAGAGTGAGTATTTCACTCGATGCACGAATATGTCCTCTCGCAAGTTGACCACATGATCGCCTTGTTGTTAAGTTCAATCATGTCAGAGAGTGATACCTGTCACATACGATGATGCTCACATGCATCGATCACCTTGTCCACAAGCTTCTTCGCCTTGAGACCATCGTCCAGACAGCCAAGTAAGCTCAATATGATCCCGTAGTTCCCCATGTGAGCCTTGCGCAAATTATCCAGTAATGTAGGATTGGTGAGGAGAAGTTCGATGACTTGTTGGGATGAGCTGTCGGGCAAACCTACATGATATCAGTCGGCCAGCGAAGCGAAAGTAGATCTCGGTATCGTACAGTGCTGGAGGATGTGAGTCAGACGGAGAAGAGACCTATTCATATCCTGTTGCGCGCTCGCTTGCTCGAGGAATTGTATGACCTTGATTTCGTTCGGCAGACGGCTGACGTCCGGACTCTACACAACTGACAGCTGAGAATATCGCCTTCCAAACAGCTCAATCGTACTGACTGGTGCCCTGATGGGCTATGGACGGAGTAAGTAGCGTTATTATAACAATGAAGGTCAGTTTCACGGGTTGCGAACGACTTACAGTGTTAACACCGCTGTCTGGGTTTGAATGGCTTCCTATTGGAGTGTTCAATCCTCGCGGTGCGTAAGGGTCTGGCATGCCTTGCAACATCAATTGTCGGCGGCGGACGAGGCATGCAGCTGTCATAGCGAAGGTCGTTCGGACGGCACCCATACCGCATGAGAAAACGAGAGAGGTCCGGACTGGGTCCGTCTTCTTGATGACGTGCAGATATGCATCAAGGTAATTGTCCTAAACCTGTGTCACACACCGGTGCAGTGAGAACATAGTTTAAGAGTGTCTGACCTCTATTGGGCGATCAGGAGATATTGGAATTCTGTG